ATAAGCAATGTCAACGAAATAAGAACCTGAATAAGTTTCCACGTTTGTTATTTATGTATATTAATACGGAATTCACTTTCATTTTGCGTTACACGAAATGAAATATCATATTGTAAAATTTTAATATTTAAAAATGCATAATCTTTTGAAAATATATTGAATATAATTTTTACACAACAATATTAGGAACACATAAAATATTATTATATTTTTAATAGAATAAAATAGAAAATCCAACGCGGATTTATCGTCTCTAAAATTTTCTTTCACTAATTTAAGTTATTTGAAAAATGTTTTTATTTTAGTTTTACCTCAACAGTTTTACAAAAAGTATAATTGTACTTCTCCCAAACAAAATTATTTTACGTAAACCTTTTCTTTCATAACTTAAGCACGTATTTTATCAGAGTACCATATATTTTGTTTCAAGGACTACTACTACCAATGAGATGAAAATGAAACCTCGTGGACATCGTTATGTTAAAATTTTAAAAATCACATGCTAACATTAAAATCCGTGTTATCAACGCAACGGTTATGTAATATTTTTTAAATGAAGACGCACATAATCATCTCATTCGGCGTTTAGCGCCATTTGTTACACTTTCGCTGCTCTCAGCGATCGGTGAAATTAGTGTCACAATTATAATAAGTTTCGCAATAAAGAATTAAATTCGATAAGCGAATTATAATAATAGAAACGCTTTTGTAATAAAGTGCCTCTATAGATAGATGACACGATATATCAAAGGGAGGGGGGCAGAATGTATATGAAAAACGTATTATCCTGATGTAGTATTAAATAACGCCGACTTGAAAGATCGGATGTCATATGGCCAAGTGTAACAAATGATATAATGATGTAAGTCACTTATATTACTTCTTATGACAGATCTACATCATCTCTTATTAACTTATCTGCACACCATGAGACTGAATATATATTAATAAGAACAACGGATAATACTAAAAAGACAATAACGCTATTAACTTGGATAATAAATTAGGTGTCAGGTAAGTCGATGGCAATAAATCACGAAAATTTCATGGCCCACGCGGTGATGTTGAAAAAAACATTTAATTAGTCGCCATATACGAGGACAACTCAAGGCTGCACCATTTATAGATCATACTTGTGATGATCAGCATCTGACTCCTACGTGATTAACTCAAGTTATTAATTAATATACCGCAAATACAGTACACAATACGTAATACATAATTTTAATTATGTCATGCAGACGACAATAACAATATATATTTTTTTTACTTTATGATATACGCGAATGTTAATAAAGCTATCATGAGTAGCAAAAAAGAAATTGCTGGCAATGCGAATTGTTGCAATTACTTAACATGACGGACATGTCCAAACGGTATAATAACAGCGAACGATCGCATTAACAAATCGCTGCGAATTAAGTTACTGCAATTTGACCTACCTAGTAAATTAAAACAATAATAAACTAGAAATATTTAAAAATATCCTCATATATATATAAAATAATTGAGAGTTTTTCATTTATATAGCAAGCAAATTAGATGTCAGCATTTTAAATTGCAGCAACCAAAAAATATTTTAATGAATGTTTGCATAGCAAAATTGTTACAATCGTTATATTAGACGAAACATGTACTAAATAAATTTTATTACGTAACAGCTCTTCTATTAAAACTTGAAACCTTTTATTTATAATGCAACAAATAACTATATATGAGTTTATTATGATAAAAAATATCGTTAATTGATCCATAAGTAACTAACTGTAAGTACATTATAAGCTTCAGTAATTATCAAACCCCGAGTAAAATAACTATTTTACAATATTATTATTTAAATAATCCTTGATTATTTTATGGATCAATAAATTATTATAAAAACAGTTCACGAGCACATCGTACTTCTTTATAAGTATTCGATTTGAAATATGAAAAAAGTCATTAAAATAATAAGTTTAGTCCTCTGTTGGAACTTTTAAATTCAAAAAGTCAAGTCAAAGGCTCAAAGTCGTTTAAACTTCTGATGCATAAAGATTAGATAAAATGGAGAAGTCAATCTTAACATCAACATGACGCTTTGATCTTTAAACTTTACTTAATACAAGATATTTATTATACACTTAATACATTATTGAATTAGAGTAACGCACATCTCGCGTAATTATGTCGCTTTAACTTCAAAACAACCATATAAAATAGAACATTTTCATTTTCGAAACAAATAAAACACCAAATTCTATCTGAAAGACACTTTGAACCACGAAAAAATATTCTGCATCTAAAAAGGAAATTTCATACAAAACTTACACAAAATAAAAAATAAAATTTACAGCCATTGCGAGAACCGGTGAGATTCATACCGAAGTGACTTCATACATGAGTCATTGCGCGAAAAATAACAGAGTTTTGTAAACATTGGTTTGAATATGTAATATATTATAGTATTAATTCAATAACATGTCGCCAAGTGTAATAGAAATATAAAGACTTATTATTTACGCACCAAACGAACGAGCAAAATTGTTTAATGTTATTATAATTGTTAAATAAATACGAATAAATGACAAAATTGATATTGATTCAACTACTTCTTGGCATGAGAACATAATTGACAAAATATTTGTATATATAAATATATTATTGTGGATTCAAAACCATACAATAGCTTTCAAACTGGTTTTTCTTCTAGTATCAAAATATTTTGATCATATTCGCACGAGAATATGAATTTCCCTTAAATCTTTAAAATATAACATAACATTTTTTTCGTTCTCAAATAAACTACATTTCGATGACGCAACTTGTTACGAAAAGTACAAAATAAATGAGCAAATTAACATAACTTTTTATTTATGCCTCAGTTACAGGCTGAACGTGCCTTTGTATAAATAAGTACTTACAAGAAATTGTTCAATTGAGTATTATTGATTCAAATTGCATCTGTCTCGGGTCAATCAAGATATTTATGATGCAGTGTACAATTATGTACTTGACTAACGTTTAATTTCGACAACACTACTTCATACTATTTCATTTAATAAAAATGGATATTTTTTTTTGTGAAAATATTTTTTCTATTCTTTTATATTTCAGATGGAAAATAATAAAGAATGTAAACAAAATTCTCATTACTGTTAATATATTTCAGTTAGTTTTCTTTTAAGTAAATATAATATATTAATGTTTATTGTAATACATTATTGTTGATTTTATCTTTAATTAAGTAGTAACGAAGGCGTGTATAAAAAATACCTTTTAGTTGCGTATGAAGCTTCTTGAGAGAAAATAGAGCTGTAAATACAATGAATACTGTTCTAGAAAAACCCTGTTCATCTTAGCGCTAAAAGTCATATTATTATCATGTTATGTCAATAAGGAAGTCGATCTTAAATTATACATATATGCAATTTCATAAAAAGTAAAAAATAATCTAATTACATTTACTTAAGTGCATTATCAGCTTCCTTCTCAGCATAAATAAATTACGAACACTCGTTACGTCAATTTAGAAACCGTGTTTTAAATAGAATACTATTTAAAAATTTAAATTTAAAAAAGAAACTTGTGTTAGAAACAGGCATCTAACGAGTTACAGCAAACGAGCAAATTTTTTCGCTACAAATTACAATATTATGTATGTGTTACGGGCTTTCATTTCTTCTTTTAACGAAGCACGTAAACATTATAATGGTTCGAACCAAAAACATTGTAATATCATTATAACGTTTATAATGAGACGCAAATTATTATGAAGGTATCGCGTGGGTGTTTTTAGTATCACTTATATTAGACTCGTAGAATAATATAATTTCAACATCAAAAAATCAATATTAATAATACAAAGATAAATCTTATGTAATACCATCTGACCTACTTAAACCGTTTTCTCAATACCACCCGAACAAAATATTATGATACCGGCCTGTCGCTATTAAATGTTTCGGGAGAACAATAGGTATAACTACGCTATATACCGAAACTTTTTACAATATATAAGTAAAATAACATGGTCCCTTTCAAAGATACTCCATTATAAGTTTGTTAAAAATATATGTTTCTGAAGAACAAAGGCTAGTCATAAATGAATTATAACAACTTTGTTTTGCAACTAGATATAAATATTATATAGTAGAATATTATTTGAGTTTTGATACATTGCAACAATTTTTTATGACCAGCTGTAGACATCTAAGGTCTGATTTGAGACTAATACAAAAAATGTATATATATCGCTGCAAAAATATATTACGCTTAAAAATATTTGAGTACGTGATAGAAAAGATATGTGAGGATTGCAAAATATTTAATGCTATCATTTAAAGGAACATAAATTGACGCTAGAATATAATGTTGAACGTATATTTTGATCTGAACTTAATTAAACAACCTTGAACTGTAATATATTTAGTATAAATATTGACTAGCTAGAACACAAGACCTTAGAGTCTTTCAAAGACCTAACAAAGCAGTATATAGACTTATCACTACACTATATTTTATGATTGAGAAATATCAAACCTATCATTTAATGATGTATCGTAAGGACTAAGAGATATGAAATATGATTATTGAACTAAATAGATAAAATACATAAAAGAATACAATTCTACTCTATAACATTTTAAAAACACCATTGTCAATCAACCTAACGAATTGATGTCATAGTCGTGAACTGTAATCTGAGAGGTGAGCTATTATAACAAAAAATATATTTTGACGGGTTTGTCTAAAAGCTAGTCATTGAATAACAATGTTTTGCTTTGTTATACATAATACCGTTTAAAATTACTTACTGTTTTGTTTTAAATTTAATTAACAAGAAAGTGAGACCGCAGTTTTACCATGGAACTCGAAGTATTTTACGGAACATTAGCATAAATTAGACGCTTTATTTATAAACAAAGTGGTATTATTAGTTTAGAAATTTATAATGAATACATTAGTATCGAAGAAGACTGTGCGGGAACACAGAATAGTGAGCTACTGTTAAAAACAGTTACCTTATTATATCCATATGAAAAGCCATCGTCGGGCGCCAAAGACGAAATGGAATTGTGTCGATCGAATTCCCAATTTGTATGCCATGTGTCCAACGAGTCGGTTGAAGATTTCTTAGTATCAATGGAACTTTTTCTAGAGACAAAATTCAGCGGACTTACGTAGTCTCTTTTCATGTCTCTAATACCAGTATTCAAAGAATCCCGTCTGTTGTAATTTACAATATTGCCGCGGGAAAGATTTGGAAAGGAGCCCATGGAATGGCGCTTTGAGTTGTGTCTGTGTGTCGGGCTTGGGGTGTCTCTGCGAGGTGGCGTCTGAGAAGGGCTATGGCGATCCCGGCGAAGGATGCTCGGGAACGACGACGGGTGCTCCAGCTCCCGCGCTGGAGAACCTTGGGATAAACCCAGTGAGCCTCTTCTCCTGTCACCACAATTGCTATTAAGTAAATAGTTTCGAATAAAATAATGTTTAACGTCCTAAATTATACCTGATAATGAGACCATTTGTCGGTGAAAGACATTCCCTGAACCCTGGTGTTGATTCCCGACTGTGTAGGTAAAGGGACGACCTGTAGGGTGTGCTGCAACGACCGTGTACGTCACAGTGTGGATCGTGTTCTATGGTGGAACTGACTAATGGAGAATGTCGGCCTTCTCCTTCTAGAGTCATACTTCCAAACATAGAATCAAGCTGCCGCATCGCCAGTGCCTTCTTCACCGCTGTCATCTCGGAAAACGGCGATCCACGACAGTTTTAATTCACTATTCCTTACTCAACGTAAATACAAAAGCGCGACTAAGTGATACGTATGTCCTCTAAGTATGCCGCGAATCGACTGGACTGTTCGGACGGCATTGTGCGCAGAATGCCTGCCGGTGAGTCATAGTGGCATGCGCGCGCGCAATAACGCTAATTATTATCGTGTCCTAAGATTACGCCGTAGATGTATGTAAATATGGTGACAAAAAGGTAAATAATACAAAACGGTAATTAAATCAACGATAAAAGGTAGTCTGACGTAGGCGTCGGTCCTAGCGAGCTCGAAGGTCGCCCGAGCCAGGAAAACCGCGGCAACATTAAATATATTATGTCATTAAATAATATCAAACCCACACTTAGACCTGTGATTACAATGTTAAGTACATACATACAAATAAATATACACATAAAATAATGTGTTCGCTGTAAAATACTTGGAAAGTATAAGAATGTTAAAATAATATTTTCATTCCTTTATAAAATTAAATCATGTATCTCATCTAACACTCATATCTAGAAATAAAATGTATAAAGAAACATTGTTGCATTTCTTACGAGTTGTAACCATACATGTCTACATAGATTTAAATATAACAGGGGACGATGTGTCTCGTTTACCCAATTACCAGTTAGCTAGAGGTCACCTGGCCATTTTACAGTTCCTTATAAGGCTTGTTTCCGTTAAATTGACACAGTTTAAACGTTGTTTAGGAAATTAGCTTAACGATCGTGTAATTAATGGCTCTTTTGATATAAACCCAATGACATTAAGTGCCTATAAATCGAGACTATATGAACAAATAACGATATTGTTTTCATATGTATAAACATATATGAATTAATATTTAAATAAAAATAGTTTTCTATAGGTACAATGACGTTCCCTTAAAATATTAGAAAACCCGCCTGACAGCCTAATAAGGGTTACTATCACAAAAACGATCGGAAAAGGTAATCCAAAACATACAGCAATATGCAATAGATATATTGGGCCTGACCTCAATAAAGGAAAAGGACCCTGATAGCTGTCGATGGAATTTTAAAGGAATTTATTTTATTTATTCCAAGTTGATACTAAGAAATGCTTCAACACGTCAAAGCAAACAGTTCACGACGTTTGATAAGAACAATATTGAGAAAAGAAGACGATTGGTAAAGAAGTTTCTGCTACATAAATAATCAGATCAATATCATTGTTTCATTGTTTTGTTCTTTATATATATCTACACATTAGAAATATTTAACTTACAACAAGTTCTTAATACTTGTCCCCTGACAAATACGAAAACATTAAGGTTTCGCTTCAATGTAATACATCAAAAAGAAACTATCTAAAACTAATGTCTGCCATTCCATATAACAAACTAATAATAAATATTCTTTATAGACAATAAATATATTTTATTATTACATAAAATAAATACATACTGTAGAAACTAAAGACGTAAAATGTATTACGTAAGTGCTAATTCACCTTTATCCGCTACCGAAGATCAATTCACTCAGACGTGAAAGTATCGAATGATATTCATGTGATTTAAATATTTATAAAATAATTATTTTAATATATATAATGTATATATTTTTTTAATCATAATTTATTAGAATTTAAAAGAAATATATAACTTAATATTATCGAATATCCTGGAACATTGTTTAGATGGTAATCAATTTTAAGACATATTCATAAATAATTAGGGTTTATTTTATGGCAAATCTTAGTAGATTGATTGAAGCAATCTTTAGTATCCTAAGCCTTAGTATTAAACGAACTCATCTTTCTTGTAACAAACTTGTTCCTGGCTGATTGTCTCCACATTTCCTATTGCCACATACTTCATATATTGATATTAGTTTGCTTAGAAATATAAAAATGTTTCCATATAACGAAAGAGAACCAACCTTTAAATGTCAACTGTCAAAAACTACTAAAATTAAAGATGAATAGTTATTTAAACCAGTTACGGTACTATTGTATGAAATATCGCAATTAAAATGTTAATACACTATAAATTAAATAAATTGCGTTACCTCCGCGTATAACAAATAAACTTTGTACGGAACTGAAATAATCGGAATTAAATCAAAAGCACATTTAGATAAAAAACTGTTATGAGAAGTTAGAAAATTAGTATTTGTAAATTGTGAAAACAATATTTTTTAAAATGGGTCTAAATTTTGAAGTAAAAATTATAATAATTTCTCATTAATTAATTCTGCATTATTTTTTTCATATTATTTTATACTAGCTTTCCGTCCGCGGCTTCGGAAGCGCGGAGTTCGGTTATATCGCGTTTCCAAGAGAACCTTTCAAAAGTCTGGGATAAAAACTATCCTATGTTCTTTCTCAAGGTCAATTCTATATCTGTACCAAATTTCATTAAAATCAGTTCATTGGTTTAGGCGTGAAAGCGTAACAGACAGACAGAGTTAATGTCGCATTTATAATATTAGTAGGCATAGATTATTCACTAGTTGTATTCATAAATTATTTTAAAAAAGTATCACTTGTTATAGAACAGTTATCTCTAAATTTCTCAATACATTGCTTTTAATAACACTTGAAGCGCTTAAGTTACTTAGAGCCACTTCTGTTCGATGGACCATACTCGTCCTAATAATAAGACGAAATATTAATGAGATAAATTATTGAATACACACTAATAGATTTAATTATAATAATATTATTAAAAAAACTGATATATTTAAACTGTTTTTCTTATCAAATCTATCCTTAGTGACAACATTGAAATCTATAAATTCCTTCCATAAACAATCATACAACACCTTCTTTTATAATATTTAATAAAAAAATATGTATATTTTTTTATAAAACTCAAACATTATCTCGACTTACAATCATGGCAAAGTCATCTGTTACTATCTAACGAAAATACAATAACAATTAACAACTGCAACTAGTGAGGTTTTTATTTAGTTTCTTCTAAATGTTAATGTCATTTAAATGTCAGGTGACGTATCAGTATTCTCAGGTCAAATAATATAGAAGTACTAAAGACAGCGTTTAGATGTCACCTGTATCACATTCCAACTCGTTTATTAAGAGGCAGAGAGGTGTCACTTTTTTAAACTATTGATTTTTTTCTATTTAAAAATTTAAATTTAATGAACAAAAAAACATTTCAATATACCAAGAAGTAGTGGCGAAAAAACTTACACATATTATATACATACATATATACATAAGTTACAATAGGACGTTAAAATATTTAGACTGTTCGAAAACATTATATAAACAAACCCTCAAATATGAATAATTTGATACCAATAATACGGATAGATTAAATAAGAAAAAAAATTGAGTAGCTTCAAAACGTTCTCCAAATAATTAAGACGTTTTATTTGAAAATAGAAATCTTTAATACTCCTTGCAGTTAATAAGACAAAATGAACCAAAAAATATCCTTAGTGACAAACAACAAAAAAAATACTACAAGAAGTCACAAGAATTTCTGGAAAAGACATATTTGAATATTTTTAAGATGTATTTGGATGAAAACAATACAAATATTCGCTTTTTAATAAAATAGTTACCATTGCATTAAAGTACGCACATAATAATAAGTATACGCACATAAGAATAAGTGCACATAACCACAAAATTTATTATTATCTGTGAAAAAGAGAAACCCAAATAGATTTATACATTTTGAAAGAATAAACTTAATTTGAGATTGGATTAGTAGATATAAATTGAATCTTTTACTAAAAAGAAAGTTCCAGGAAAGTTTTTTAATTATGTGTAAATTTTTAAGAATTTATAACATTCTAATAGAAACATTTATAACTAAATTTAAATTCTCTCAATAACGGTTTTCTTCAGCTATTCTTAATTTTTATATAAAGACAATTACAATTGTGATCAAAAGTACTTCTAATAGATTCAACTTTTTTCTTGTCATCATTAAGTCCTATGAAAAATATTTTAAAACAAATTTTATTATGTTCTACGTCACTTTATTAAATTAATATATAGGATTTATTGGTTGAGCGTTTTGTGCTAAAGGGGTAATTTTATTACAAAATTACAATATTATTAACTCCTAAACTAGGTAATGTCAGAACCCACCAGCAGTTATGAAACGAACTTAGCAGAGTATTTAATTTCATATTTTTTAAACAGATGGCGCTGCAAATAAATTGAAAGGAATAATATTGAATGAATTTCTAAATGTCCTGTTAAACAGTATTTTAGTTTAAAATGAAACCGTTAGATGTCACTAAACTGACATATAAAAACGATCAGCTTAAAAAAATAGTATCCAAAATAAAATTGAAATAACACAACTGAACTAGTTAAGACTGAAAGTAATAGATGTCGCTTACATTAAATTAATATTTCCGAAGCATTTCGAACGCATAGATGTCACTACTGTCGACTTTGTTAATTTTACAATATCAGCGTTTGTTCTAACAATTTACCAGCTTTATAGCTAAGAGATGGCGCTAAAACTCGCGTTTATATAATCAAAAACACAATAAGAAAATAAATCAACCGATAGATGTCGCTAAAATAAATGTATCACAATCAGCCTAGCAGGCACATGAAATTACGTAAGGTAATAATTTCTATTATTTCAACAGCATCTAACGGCGGTATCATAGAAGTTGTAAAATATCTACCAATCTCTCTAATTTTATTTCATAGGTGTCGCTAAATTTCTCTACGGCATTACCAAATTCATATACTTAATAATGATTGCATCTAGCGTCTATTGTTGGAACTAAAACCTAGGTTTTGGAAACTGTTGAAGAAGTTTAAACAAAATGTTTTTGCTTGTTGTGCGATAGGTAGGTACTTGAGAGCATTTTGGTTTATATTGCACTGCTCGAAAAACTAAAATATCGTTTGTAATTTTATAAGCATCATCTAGCGATAATTTTCCAAACTAACTGAAAATACGTGTTAAAATATTTATTTCAAATACCTTCTGACACACATAGATGGCGTTAAAAGTAATTCAAAGTTAAGCTGTCAGTAACACGCCATTTATTTTAGGTGTTTAATTCTTTCTCACTTACCTCCACACTAATTTCTCCAGTATTTTACCCCCGTCCTATAAAACTTACCTGGATATTAATATAACCATAATAGAATAACTAGGTATTAATATCTAGATTCCTACACTTACCTGCGACTCGGACATACAAAGTATCTTATTTTTTACCAACTAAACTAGACAAAACTATTTTTTTCTAGGGCTAGTTACCTAGACGTAATGTACTGTATCATTTGTAACATTTTATCTAAGCGGATAAGTATTGTATACATATTTAAATAAACGTAATAAAAAGAATTATATTACAGTCCTGAGGTACAAAAATTGTAAAAATCATAGATTTGGATATGATTAATTCTTTTTTAAATGGAAGTTAGCGCCGTAACTGCTGTATGTAAGCTATAATATGTATATGACTTATGACATATAGATAAACATATTATGACGATACCTTATACTTTTTATGCAGAAAATCAAATTTATACGAAATTTCAGAAAGAATGAGTTCAAAGTATTTCATCTGTTTATTTTACTTTCATAGAAATATAAAAATATTATTTCATCGAGATAGTTCTGCTAAAACACCCATTATATAGTACTTATTATTTTCTTTTTATTGCAATTTACGTGATTTATTTTTGAACAAAAAATCAGTCTAAAAATATGTAAAATTAATTTTTTATACGCGACTATTTTAGTTACCTGGCAAACAATATATAGCAATATTTCAACGGATATCGTGAGTTTCGAAATTAATAAGAAATTAAGTTATAAATGGCGTTTTTTTTAATTAAATTAAACATTTGAATAGCAACAGATATTTTTCTGGAACTGATTCAATATGAGTGACTTTATTAAACGTTCCAAGTGTTGAACACATTGAAGGGCGTCACTTCGCGTATGAATAATAATTTCAAGGCCATTCAGTAAAATATTTAAAATGTTGTCATCTTTAAATATCGCTTTAAAATGAATTTTATACTATTCGTAACGTAACATAATATTTCAGATCAAAGACACAATATTACATCTTTAGATTTCTTCTGTTTTATATTATTATTTAATAATAAATAATCTTACTGTATTTAATATATTAAGCAATTACCTACCATTTTGACAAAAATATATCAAAACTATAACAGTATGTAACATTATTATGTATTAATATAGGTATATTTTTACTGCAATAATTAAGAAATTCATCAATTTTAAAAATCGGTTCAAAGAGTGTAGCCAGTTCACAATAAATTTCTATGAGGTTCATCTTCATATCTTGTATTCTTCTGAGTTACATATTTTCCACTTGGCCTGGCCAAACCCTTGAAGACTGCGAAACGTTCTTTTAAAAAGTTTTACAGAACTTTAGAACTTCATTCAAATTATCATTTTCTCAATATTATTGCAGAGAAATATTCGATAAATTATATGGAATGAAACTAATTTACTGAGTGTTGTGTTGCTTATTTGAAAAGCACTGATTACTGAGAAGTTAGTCTACTATTTATATTACATCTGTTATTGATTAAAATTGTAATTTTTCACGAAAATCCAGCTTAAAAGAAGATTATACCATAGCACCTGTCTTTCAGTCTCGTATATTTTAAAACTAAGTCGTCAACGAATCCGAAATCCAGCGAGGGGTTCAAGTCACACACTAAACTAAAAATTATAGAGCACATAAGAAACCCTAGAGTAAAACAATGAGACACAGAGATAACATTTTATATTTTTCTTTAAAGGTTCCCAGGCTATGGATCTAATTCTCCGTTGAAAACTGGAATACGTTTTAATAACAAGTGCCTGCCAACCATTCTTACTATAAAAGTACATTCCTAAATGGGGGAAAGTTGTTTCATAAATGGTCTCTAATAATTGGAGATCTGATTACAACTACAGTATATTCACAAGCGACTGTCCGAGGGGAGTTTTTGCGTTGCACATGTGACCTTTGTATAAGAGTGTACCACTGGTGACACAGAACTGATTAAGCGGACATGTCCAATTTGTCGGACAAATAAAGGCCCAGCCTCATCAGCGTTATGCTGAACAAAGAACCGCCTTAATCCAACCCTCAGTCAATGTCACAAACCACATCAAGCAAAGGACCAAGCAGGTAAATTTTGCTCGGATAATACAAGCCTGAATGTGTGTGGTATACATATCACTCATACAATATCTAGCTCGACCACTAGATACTCCACCAAAGACCGTCTTGTGAACATACGGTAGTGCCAACTATTAGAGAACATTTGATGAACAGCTGTCCCTCATTTAGGAACATAGATTTATAGTAACAATGATTGACTAGGTCCTTGAAATTAATAACGTTCCAGTCGCAACAGAGAAGATCTCAATCGCCCGGTGAATGTAATATCATGAAAAATATAAAACACTACTCGTTTCCCCTGTGATACTCTAGAATTCATCTCAATGCGTAGTGTGTGTCCTGAAGCCTACTACTGAAGATAGAGAATCGTCGAGGACCGTCAACAAATAATACGGACTGAAAAACAAGCAGTTGAATACAATCTTCTCATGAACTATTTTCGCAAAAAAAAAGATGTAAAATAAATTGAAAATCAAGTAATAAATTTTAATTTACTCAACAAACAAGGCTTTTCAATTATGAATTGGGTTTGCTCAGTTTACAGAGTACCAATTAATTTAAATTTTTTTAAAGGCCACTTCACGGCTCTCATTTCTTAAACGTAACATTCTCATATATTTTCTTCACAAAGCACTGCTCAAACCCAATATAAGGTTTATCAAAAATCGGAAATAATGTATTTATATATAATAAAATATTCAAACAAGATAACAAACGGATATCAACACAACACTACAGTTTACAGTAGATTATAGCTTGTTACCGAGTTATTGCAAAAATTAACATAATTGTTACTGTAATAATTTTACTAAGAAAAAAATACTATTTAATTTTGAATTGTAACCTATAGTAAAGATATGGTTTGCTATTACATTATATTTAAAGGTAACAAGCGCTTACAACTTCAAAAGTTGAAACATCTTAAGACACGTAAGAATTAAAAAGCTGCAAATGCAAATGCCGAAATACTAACGGCATCTGACACTCGAAATATATGTAACATGTTCAAATTTTGAGGTTTACAAAATATATAACTATATAAAAAATCACATACCACGATGTTAACTAAGTACTTCTATGAATAAAAATCTATTTACTCAATATCTGACACACGAGAATTATCTTGGCCTAGTAGTCTTTAGTTGACGATGTTACTGTTTTAAATAAAAATTAATAGACCGAAATCACAAATACTATATCTTTATATAATCTTTAAAGTAGATAATATGTAGTTACACATTTTTTTGAACCTACAATATAAGTTATTGTGAGAAAAAAATATTAATAAACATCTAATATAATAAAACATGACATGGATGATATTTGCTATAAGGATATGCCAATAACAACAGTTTTTCTATTATTATAAATTGAAAAATTACTTGAAAAATCCTTTGCTTTACATTTTATTCAATATAAACCCTATCACAACTTCGGCTGTTTTATCTAAAGATGTAATATTATCGGTAAATTGAGCGAAGTGTTAATATTTTAACGAATTTATAGCCATACGAAATCATTATTATATATTTTTTCAGTACACCGTTTATTTTTTATAATACGGAACCCGGCGAAACCCCGTAAAAATAATTAGCAAACGTTTTGTCGCCTACAGCATAAATATTGCAATTATAGTTTCACTAGCAATCTTTGTTTTTCTTCAGGCGTTTTTAATTAAAACATGACGACTTTTATGTTACTCGGATATTAAAAACTTTGTATTACTTTTTTATTTTTAAAAATATGTAAGAAACCATTTTCATAGACAACATATATAAGTTATAAGCATTCGCAAAGCAACATTTACATAAATCGCACTTACTAGGAAGGTCGTTTTAAATCGATAACCTGTTCTCGAATCTCATAAAAACAATGGGCTTACGCTGAGGCTTCGAGTTAAATTTCTTCTAGTATAAAACCATTATTAAAATAAAGAAAGAGAAAATCAAATTCGCAGACTGCAATTTTTTGTATAATTTTTAGGTCAAGAACTATTTTAAAAGGAATACGTCATTGAACTCATTCTTTCACCGAACTAACTTATCAAAGAATGTTTGTTTAAATATAACATTACTATCTCAATATAAAGCTAATTGAAATCAATAAAATTATTGTATATACTATATCAAAAATTATTAGCACCCAGGTAACTTTATATTCAACTGTATCAATATGAAATTATACGTAAAATTATATCTGCTTCTGAAGTCCACCACCATTGTCGTGTGATAAAAAGTAATTAAAATACAACAGTAATTACTATACATGATACACTGTATACGGTGATGATTAGAAAATATTTGGAGAGCGGTCACTCAACTGTAACTGAAATGGAAAAAAATGTGTTTGATGTGTTATATGTGTGTCTGGTTATATATGAATGTTAAGTTACTGTGGTATAAAGCAGGTGTGTGATAAAAAAATATATATAAAAATCTTACATTAGGGGTTTCCGGCACTTCAATAGACTCGTTGATCTCATTTTTTCTGTACAAAAAAATAACTTTAATACACGACACATATAAAACATTTTTATAGAATATTATTGACAAGTATCTTTAAGAAATATATGGACGAATTATATAAGAAAGCATTGTTAGATGTATTCATTAAAAACTTTTCCTTCAACGCAATGGCCATTCAATAGGTCTTAAGACTCCTTTGAGGCTCCACTTAATGGAACATCCTGGGATCGAACCCGAAAAAATCATTATTCAGTTTATTGCAACAGTCATCTTAAAATTCAGTACTAAATAGTATTAATAATATACATATATAAATAATAGATATTATAAAGATCCAAACCACCATCATCTTATTACTTGCCTTAAGTACTTAGTATGGTCCGGTAACGGTTGATTTTGTTCCACATTAGACGGCGCAGGATACTTCACAGTAGAGGGAAAAGCGGATGCACTGTCACCTACTTGCTCCTGCCTATAAATATTAAACACCAACTATCGAGGTCGAGGTCATTATACTAGATAAATATGAATTTAACTCACGGTTTCTGTGTCCTGATTTCAGAAGAACATAGATTGCGGAGGTAGTCATCACACTCACGCGTCTTCTGCATCTGATATTCTTTGAGTAATTCCCTACGGAAGTCACCGTCTGGACCTGGTAGAACGTCAGTTGAAGGGCGCTCTGAAACTGCAGCCGTTGATATGGATGTAGATGCCGAGTAATCGTGTGCTCTATGCTCTGGTGTAGTAGCGTTGGACGCTCCTATGCTACTGTTCTCATTGGTCTTTGTATATTCACCGATGGGTTTCAATTGCTCCTCGATCGGTTTCAAGGATTCATTTAGCCCGTTGTAAATACTGTCACAATTTTTGTTATCAAACAATCTATCCACTGACGTGTTCATAAGCTTGTTGCCTTTAATTCCAGTCAGATGGAAACCAGCAAAATACGATGAAGAGGGGCTGTAGTCGATTGCAGATAGAGCCATGACCGCGGGATGACGAGGTGCTCCGTCAGGCAGAGGTCGGAGAGATCTTGTCATCGCATCCGCTGCAGACCGAGGTCTTCTAAATGGCATGGCCAAGTGCGGAAAGGTGCGGGGTTTAATTGGTGTTACAAGCATATGTTCAGTCCAAGAAGTATGCAATGACGGCCGCTCCAACTTTTCTACGTCAACATTTAGCATTCGTTGCTCAAATGGTACGCTAAAAGTCTCCGCCGGGATTGACTGAAGCCAAGACAACAAACTCAAGTCCGACTCGTCAAAACCGGAACCATCTAATAAGCGGGAAAAGTTTACTTCATTTGTCTGGGCTTCTTTGGATCCAGTGGCTTTGGCCTGGCAGTAATTAACGCAAGATTCGTATAAAATCCCCTTTATAAGTAATTGCATGAGTCGATCGTTTTTCGCACTTTTTGGCGCTGTTCCACTTGAAAAGGATTTTTTATCGCAAGGCAAAAATTGTTCTACTAGAGGATATACTTCTCTAAAACATTGGACCCGCGCATTACTTGGGTTCCATTTTTTAAACTGTGTATGGTCAGTTATACTAGGAAGTGTAAGCAGAAGACATAAATTAGAATATTCTTCTTTAGAAGGAGCTAATTTCTCTAAGTCGCTAAGGACCTTGACGACTTCATCAACGATGTTTTCAACATTGTTGTAAGCCTTTATTTCGGATCTAATGCAAAGAAGTTCTATATACTTATGTCTAAGAATAGCGTAATTGAATTTATCAGCTTCAAATGCTTTCAGAGCGCTGAGAGGTTGTATGAATTCGAGTACATCATCCCACTGTCCATCTAGAATCAGTTGCCGCAGAAACAAAACGTCGTCAGCGTAATTGCCGTTGATGACACCAGTCTCTCGCTCTAGTGATAGCTGGGTGATGTGCAAGTCGCGCAGGTTCAGGAACTCCAATGCTAGACGCACTACGTCGTCTTCGCGGAGGCTGAGGTGTGTCGATGGCATTCTTTTCTGACTTTTGAACCTAATTAACAAAAAAAACACTAAATAACATGGGGATTTTAATCTGAAATCACAACTTTGCCCTGACAAATTTCATATATAAGTTTTGACACATTTATTTGAACATAATAAAGTAAGCATGCTTTATACCAGAATGTAATTTAATTGTTCGTTAGGTGCGAGTTTTTTTTTTATTTCTTAAAACTAAAAAAGCAAAAGTTTTAACAAACTATTAGCGGATGAATAATGTAACTAGCCAGTTTTCTTAATTAACAAATTATAAAGTCGCAAGAAACATAGCCATATTTTTGTAACTACATATGTGTTTGTCATGTATCATCTAACGGTACTATAAAATTATTTGATTCAATCAGTCAATACACTCTTTTCTTTGTAAATTTAACGTGCTCACTTAAATATTATCTTGACTAATTATGTATCATTTGAAATGCTATCGTGCATGTCTTGTAACAATAAATGTTGAAGAAAGATGCGGTTCAAAACAAGTACCCAGTCATGAGTTTGGTTTCACAGGTCTCCTTGTTATTATGATATCGTTAAAATACTTAAAATTAAAAGTTGGCTCTAAATTCGATTATATCTTGTATTCGTATTTTTCTTTATGAAAAAACTCGATAATTCTTTTAGCATGGTATAGAATTACCATCAAGTCAGTACCTTCGAAGTATTGTTTGAATATTTAAAATAAATAAGATAATTATATTTTCTTTCATACATATGCGAAACTTGGACATAAGTATTTAGGATTTATACTACTTTATGACCATGTTTTTACGCAACTTGAACGCATTATAATATATCAATATAAACTTAATACACTTTGCAACCTCCGTTGAGTTTCTATAAGAGAAATACACTTTCCTACCAACCGACTTCTAATCATAGATGTACGTAGCCACAAACAACTTCTTATGCACGGTTTATAAAGTATGTAACAGGCACAGTCTTCTTTCTGTCACCGCTCAGAATATTTTATTCAAATGATCCTGTTTATCTCTCCGCCTTGAAAGACTGTCTTATTTGGAATAGCATAAAGGTCTCGATGTCAAATTACTACTATAACCATTGTTGTAGTATTTTGATCTTTCTATTTTTACTAGACATAACAATGGAAAAATATACGTACGAAAAAATGTTTGATATATAATACATATAATCTGTATTGTTTTCGCCACTTTTTGTCATCTATAATTTAATTGGTTTTTACGCACCCAATTTTTTAAAAAAAGTTAAATCTCTCGTATACGCATTTTTCTTATTCCTTATTATTTATTTATTTCAATAAAAAAAGAAAACTTAAAGTAGTATTAGTATTAGTGGTCGTGGAGAAAACTAAATTTGAGCATAATTTAATATTGAATCTATAGTTACTAGTTTAATAGTGTCGATCAATGTGAAATTTAAAAAAAATGATTCCTCGTATTGTTTTAGGCAATTCAGTTAACAAGTATAATTTTTTTTCTTCGTCTTCTTGTTTATTATTTTTAACGTTAATAATAATACTTCGTATTTTAATCATAATATGTAATGAAATGACGCTTGTTACAATTTTTGCCACATATACTGTAATTGTGCCAAATTATAAACTCATCCGATATAATAAAAAAGTGGTAGGTAATTTGTTTTAGTTTACTTACATATAAGTATATATTAAAATTTAAATCACTTGTTCTTTTTCGAAAATATGTTACTTCTAATAATGTTACACATAATTTAAATGTCATCATAGTCAAATCGAAAAGCGATTATTGTTCGTCAAATTTATCGTACCTATGAACACTTTATAAAATATTTGGTAATACAATAAGTATTGTTTGTGTGAAAACAATTTATTGTAATTTTTATCAAAATATCAGCTCGTAAACAAGATAATACAAACAAAACAGCAGTGAGCACAGATATTCAAAAGAATAGAATTTATAATTTAATAATAGCAATATTATCCAAGCTATTTGGTGCATTGAACAATAGTACCAGGTTTATGGAATGGAATTGGAGCATTTCATTATTGTCACGGCTCGTATAACCTGCATCTATCAATTTGCCAACTATTCTGACAACCACCCATGATAAAATTTTTATGAAAATTAAGCCCCGAAAGTTGAGTTTATTAAATAAGCACCTTCATATATATACATAATACAAGTGAATCTAAAACAATAAACAGCATATTTAAAGACTATATGTCTTCTCATAAAAAAATATTTTTGATTAATTAGCTTTATTCAACCAATATAAATAAATATTGGTTAAATATTTTTTTCATAGACAAACATCCATCAACCATAGCAAATGAGGAAACAAAAACTTAAGATCCCATTAAAAACTTGTATATATACATATATGTAGTTTGGTAAAAGGTGCATAAAGAAATGTGTTTAAATACTTATATCTTTATATTTTTTACACTCAGTAAAGAACTTATTAAGCATACTGACATACATGTCATATTTTTTGAACATGAAATCATTTTTGCATGATTCATACATACAAATTTGTATAAAAACAAAGTTTTAAAATAAGTTTGTCAAGCGAACACCCCAATAGTTAGCATTGTATTTGACTACATATAGATACTCTATATTAACATCTTTATTATTATTAATTTTAACTAAATATTAATAATATCTTCAATTATATGTCTGTGTTATATTTTTGAGTTGTACCCATAAATTATATTAGGTTTAACATGATTCAGGATTAGACAACAAAACTTTGTATATAAAATTAAGAGCACCATAAAATAAGGGTGAATTAGCATGTTTAGAATTAAAAAATTCCTATGACCATTCAGATTGTAGAAATAACGCAAATAAAATGTTATACAATATGCAAATTATTTAACTGAAAGTACCATATATTTTTAAGACATTTTACTGTCAATTATTTCTTATTAGAAATGACATGATGAATTTCTCATTGATTCAATATGAACTAATTTAAAACGGCTCCTCTTTTACATAATGCAAAATATATAGTATGAACAATATAAACTATAACCTGTTTCTTAATAAAATCTTTGTAACTTTTTCTATTTATTTTAAAGTACATGCAGTCTATGTGTAGTATATGGGTTTATTTGTACTCTATTGAAAATAAGAGAATTTTTGTGTGTGACAATAATGTCAAGTGTTTTGTGTGACATATTATTTATTCAAAAAAAACAATAAAATTATATAAAAAATATCAATTAAAGCTCAAACATAGAATTCACTAAAGTAAATGATTAATATATTCCTCTAGAAACCTCATTTGAAACGAAAAAAAATTTTTTAGGAAAAGAAACATAAATAATGCATATTACTTCTAATTTACATATTCTTATAGTAAATATTCTTATAGACAAATATTTGTGTCAAAATTTTAATTAGAATTTCGAAATTTTAATGCAGAGTAATAAATTTAGTTTTAAATATGTAAAATTTTCAAAATTCAACTTCATTATTTTGAGAGAAATTTTTGAAATAGGACCAATCAAAATTATTTCCTTCAATATATTGTCCATCATACTATTTTTGTCTTAATTATTCAAGTGATGAACCTCTATAATCTATATTTTATGCATAATCACTAATTTTCTTTTATATATGAATTGATAGTTTAATATTTATATTGAAATGTATATACAAAAATATTGTGGTGATAACAGTTATGAATAATCTGCATTCATATATTCATGACATCAATCAGCACTTTTGCAGTTCAATATTCTTTCATTACTATTAACCAGACTACTCTCGAGTGATTGAATAATATCTTAAAGTCTAACAGAGCTTAAGCAATTACATGAAATAATAACAAAATTTAAGGTCTGTTTTGTAGTTTCTTTTTTTTTTGTAGTAGTAGCAGTACTTAGTAGTAAACCATAATCCACTTGGGGTAAAAACAAAGAGCTTAGGCTTTAGTATTTAGATACTATGCATAAATTAGTCTCATTTTACATGACATGTTTAATATATGACATGTAATTATTTAAAAAAATATTGTTGACCTTACAATTCCAACACACATAGTTATTAAGAATTTTTCTAGGTAGCATATCAATGTGGATATTATGTAGCTTATTGTATCAATTATATATAAGGACAGTTAACATTTCAAGCTAGGGCAACCCACACAAAGATTTACAAATTTATTACCTTCCCAAGCCCTTATATAGATTGACTTGAACTGATATGATGTCATATAAAAAATATTCACATTCCCTAGTAATGCCAAATATTGAAAATTACACTGTTTGTACATTATGCATTAAAAAAAATTATTCCCAATTATTTTAGCAACACTTGATACATAAAAATTAAGATTGGTTAAGACAATTCCTAACTAATTTGTCAATGTAAAATTGCTGTTTACATATGCAATAATTTCAATACAGTCAACTTTCACTCCCTATATCTGATGTTAAATTAAGTTGTTAGTAAGACTTGAGTGTTACAAAGATGGTTAGCGAAATTATTGGTGCATCCCTAACGCACAACACATGCCACTAAGAGAAATTCGATAGATAACAGAGAGTTAAAATTTCGCCGAACATTAGTCATATTTTTATTTTTCGGATCGTAACGCACTTACAAAAAAACTTAATGCCTTAAAACGGTTCCCTCATAAAGATACGATCTCACTATTGTTTATAAAATAAATTAACGAATTAAATAGTTCGGCGAATGAAATGTTACGCATAAAAAATATTAAACCAATATCAAAACAAGTATGTAATCAATCTTAAAATTAAAGAATCATACAGTATTAAATTCTTACCTCTTCGGTTGAAATAATTTATCTATTCACATCTGCAAACAGGGCACAATAACAACAAAAAATCCTAACATTTACAACAATATTTTTAACGGGACATTGCAAAAGAAATTACTAAATTTATTCCACATTTCAAAGTCGGAGAGAGCTACTCACAGACTATACAGTATATAAAATTTTGAGAGACCGACAATATCTTTTCAACAGATAATATATAAAATACACCAAGAGTTTTGTAAGCGATACTTTTAACTGGTAAATGTGTAATTGGACATAATTTAATCGATGTAAAATAAAATGGTAAGGTATGTAATAGATTTTCAACGGTAGTCTATTAACAGAAAGTTCTGAAAATATGAATTTATTCTAGTTATCTACTTAAATATTTTATAATGATTAAGATGGCATTTTATTCCAAACATAACATATTATATATCATTGGAGGATGAGACTAATAAATGACACATGGCAATCAAAGATTTCAATATTATATTTATAATACGACCGTGGCACCATATTTTCTTAATTTTCGTTATATAAACCTATTATTCTAATAAAAGAAGTCGTATTTAAACTCTAAAAATAGCTGTTTATTTATGCAATAGTATAATTTATAATGAAAAGGAGGGAGCACTGCACATCCAAATTGTTTTTATATCAAGTTGAGGCCCAGTATAACTACGATGAAAGAGCAATAAGTAATAAAACAATTTTAAACTTAATATTTTAAGGAAACCGACTTATATCAGATTAAAATTGTCACAATACTTGCAATGATAAAGTGATAGACTTAGATAATTTATTTGAATTTCAATTTACATACTCTATGACCGGGTCAGCTGTCAGTGCGGCGGTAAAAGAAATTTAACGTACCTGATTGAATTTTTTAAGGATTTTTTATAAAAATGCGAGAAATGGACGAAGAGGGAGATAATATTCTACTTCAAGATAATTATTACCAATTACTAAATGTGGCAAAAACGGTAAATATTTAAGGATATTATATATTGCAATATTTCATTATATTGCGGTATAATTATATAACTATTTATTTGTATTTGAAATAAACAATAGTACACAATTTATTTGCTTAGTATTGTTTTGTTATAATTATTAAACTTCAATATGTATTTATCTTATTAACTTACTAGTTTTTTATAGGTTAGGACCACGATTGTATTAAAATGTATAACTTGGTCGTATGATATGCTTTAATTGTTTCCACTGACTTTGTATTTTCCGACATAAAAATATTATATAAAAGAAATAACTTAAATTTTTTATATAAAGTTGTTTACTTTAATATTTTTATTTAAATTATTTCAAGGAAATTTGATAAAATGTAAAGTATGTTTGTATGCTTATAAGATATAGTTGATATAATACAAATTTCAAATATAACTTCTTTAGAATTTTAATAATTATTCCATTCAACATTTTTTTGATTTCATCATATTATATTAAAATAAAAAGAACAGGAAGGGAAATATTCTTGTAGTAGTTAAGGTCATACTATTAATATAGTTTTCAAGACAAAATTCGTAATTTATTTTTTTTACAAACATTTTGCACTTTTTTCAATAGTAAGTAACTACTGAAAAAAGTTTTCTTATTTTTAAAACAATGACATACAACCAGTTCTTTCTATTAAACTGTATGCAGGTAGCTATAATTTATATTTTAATATTTGGTACAACAATTTATGTTTGGTTATTACTACTCCTTATTTATAATTTTAATTTCTAGGCCAGTGTAGAAGAAATAAACAGTGCCTACCGTCGTTTCTCAAGAATATTTCATCCAGACAAACACAGCACTGATCCCAATAAGCAGAAATGGGCTGAACAGATATTTAATAAAATCAAAGAAGCATATGAAGTACTTTCTGATTCACACAAACGAGCTATTTATGACACACTTGGTATGTGCAAAATATCTTTATGTAATATACATGTAATTAATATCCATCAATATTTATTTGTTAATTTTATGTTAAAAGGTAAAAGGGGACTTGAAGTAGATGGGTGGGAAGTTATATTCAGAACACGAACTCCTCGGGAGATCAGAGAAGAGTATGAAAGGTAATTTTATTTATACTATAAGATTTCATCTGTGTTGTCACTTAGAACTTAGATTATAAGTGTAAATAAGGATGAGTTATAGTATCAAATATTTTTATCAGGTTAAAAAGGGAAAGAGAAGAAAGGAGGTTACAGCAGAGTGCCAACCCTCGAGGGACAATCACACTCTCCATAAATGCCACTGATATGTTTATGAAGTACTATGATGAGTATGATATTCTGTGAGTATTTTACTAGAGCACATGAAACTACACATATAGAAATATAATCCATAAGGATTATGAGGTTTAATATTATTTATGTCCTATTTATTCCATCTGATATATGTAATATACATTCTATGACATTTGTGTTCATAAAATTTCCAATGTCATCCTTTAAACTTAATCAATAGTTATCAATTGATTCCCTTATTAAAATTACAATTTTCTTTTATTTCTAGTGAGGAGTCAGCTGTGATCCCAAGTGTGGAAGTCTCGGGGATGACAATCCAACAGTCTATAGATGCTCCGGTCACACTTCGCAATACTGTAACACTGTCGGGGAATATCTCCACACAGAATGGCATTGGTGAGGATCCAAATTTATATATATATCAGGGCCCTGATTTTTATAAACATACAATTTTCTACCTCCAATAAAAATGACAATGTAGATTTTTTATTGATTGATTTTGATATATTTTTTATCAAAAAATCACATGTTATTAATATATAACTTTTATTACAAATCTCATTATTTTCTGATAGTAATTTGAATAACTTTTTTCCTTTACTTTTTTACAGGCACGGGGTCACTCACGGTGTCAAATCGCCATCTAAGTTCCGAGAGAGGCTGGACGGAATTAGAATGCGGTATAGGAAACGGACCCGTCGTTGGCTTCAAAATATTCAGAACCATATCAAGATTGATGTTTGTTAACTGCGGCACCGGTCTGCAGTTCACATCCAGAGGGATTATGCCGAGTTTTGTATCTAGTAGGTTTACTTTTTTTTACTTTAAATTTGATGTTGGTAAATTATGTTTTAATATTAAGATTGAATATTAAATTCTGTCAGCGATGGCCCTTCAGTTGGACGCTCATTCTGTTGGTTATCTGACGTACCGGGCGGGGTCTGGCGCGGGTTCTTCACTCACGAGTACATACGTCCGTGACTCGCAGCGCCACCACGTGTCAGCGTCGGTACAACTAGGCTCTCCTCATTCCTTCGTGTCACTGCATCTCGTCCGCAAACTAACAGACCACGATCTCAAGTTACGCCTGGCTTTCAAGTAAGTCAATATAACACTTGTTTTTACCTAAAATAAGCTTTGTGAATAATAATTAAATTACTACTTGACCTAAATTTAACATTGTTGTAATACTTTGATTAAGTTCTTTATAAGTGTTGCAGTAGCTTTGTGTATTCTTGTCCCTACATTTTGCAGTGCGACTATATTTGTGTGTTTAATGTATATTATTGCTTTGCTCGCTTATATAAATTTAAGCAAAATATTAATTTGCTTAACATTCCTACAAGTTGTACAAAATTCACATTAAGCGGTGTTATAACAGTATATTGAGCCAGCGACTTTCTTAAACGTAGATTATCCTATATACCCTTGTCTGTATTTGTATTGTACTAATACATATTTTGATAAATATATAAAAGTGAAATATGGAAAAAAACTGTATGATATTTAATATGACTGAAACACAAAAAAAAAAAGGTGGTTCAGGTAGATTTTATCTATTTTAATATTATTTTATGCTAATGCAATGGCTAGAGATAGTTGCATTCCAAAAATGGACAAAGTTTAAATTTGAATGTTCACCATTGAATTTTTACAGACGTTAATGGTGCTGGCGTAATAAAAAAAATATATAATATTTTTTAATTACACATTATCTGTTAGTTGTCTAATGTCTTATACATATATAAAAGTCTCGTGTCGGGGTGTTAGACAAAAACGCCTGAACCGATTTTGATGAAAATTTGTGAGCATATTGAGTAAGTCTGAGAATCGGATAACATATATTTTTCATACCCATAAGCTATAAGGGTTGTTCACCCTTAATTTTTGTTTTTTTATTTTCGGACGAAATTTTTTGTTATTATTGAGTTTTTTACAATGTAGGGCATTAAAAAATACACACAACCCATTATTTATACTTTTTTATCACCAACCCCTATTTTGTTATATGGCTAAACAACGTTTCCCGGGTCAGCTGGTATACAATAAATCTATATGTCATTGAATTACAAATACATATATGTACTGAATTTTTGACGTCATAGTACAACACTGCTTAACCATCAATATGTACCCTCAACATAAAAATATGTACAAATATTTTATATAAGAAAGAGGGATGTTATTTGGTATTTCGTTACATAACTTCTATTAAAAATTCTAAAATAATTTTTAAAGGGGAAAATCCATTTGAATACCTAATGGCAGGTTCTTGATATGAAGTTTTTATTGTACTCTTTAGCTGGTTTAAGTCTATCCTATTTTAATATTAAGCTTATACTTCTGTACTTTTTACATGCGAATATTAAAAATTACGTCTTGTTTTAAATTCAGAATATTAAAGAACTAAGTGGAATGTAAGCCTTCGTTAGCGAATTCGTTTCCGTAGAATTAGCTTTATTTTGAATATGTAAAATATTAGTGATATCTTTTGATTGTACTTGATTGATTTCTTAATAAATATGTATTATTATGTATAGACAGAGGACTAATTAGTCGGCTTATGCTTTATTCTGATGGATTTTCATATTTTAGTGAGTGATAGTGATTTTTATAACTGTTTTATATGCTCATGCCAATAGATGCTCATATACGAACTTTATTTTAAACACCTTTTGATATAATTCTGAAAATTAAGATTACTAAAAGTAGTAGGAAATTCTGTATTATCAAGATATTAACACTGTAATTCTGATGAGAGTTGTACTATTACTTTGTAGTGTGATCACATGACTTGGCTGATTTCTGTGCGATTTTAGAAGTCAAGTAGTTTAAACTGTTGCGAATGAGAATTTCCTTAAGTTACAAAAAAAAATATTTAGTTAATTGTTAATCTCATACTCAAGTTTTCATGTACGGTACTTAAACTTATATTTTTAATGGGAGCTATTTGTAACACAATCTAACAATTATTACATTATTGCTCTAGAATGGGAACATTTGGTGCGATCGTGGAATATGGTGCGGAGAAGAAAGTGTCTCAGAACAGCAGTGTGTCAGCTGCTGTTATGCTAGGTGTGCCCAGCGGTGTGATGCTCAAACTAAAGTGAGTTATTAAACTTGATAATCACTTTTTCAACATAGAGTTAATGTTTACACTGAGTCCAGCGAGACGAAATATAAAACATGAACATAGTGATGTCTTTTTAGATTAACATATTCGTATTGTAAGGTTAAACTTATATTTAACTACAAATTTTTAAACAAAAAAAAATTGCACATCGTTGATGTATTATCGATCGAAGATGTCTTCTACTGTCCAAGTTAAATACATTTCAGTAAAAATGTTTAAATGTTAATGTAATTATGTACTACAAGTATAGAAATAATTTTGTCATCAGATGGTCGTGCTCATCACAGAGCGTGGTGCTTCCCATTCATCTTTGTGAGGAGGTTATGCCATCTCCCGTTTTCTACGCCACTGCCGTACCCATCATTTCATGGCTATTGTTGAAGAAGCTGCTATTGGACCCTATAGCAAGAGACAAGAGAGAGAGGGAGCGACAGAGATCTATGGAGGCTAACTTTGAAAGGTACTATATGTTATACATATTTTTAAACCATGAATTGTTTGTCATTAAGAGTAATTATAGATATCAGATAATACTTTCAAAATTTGTAACATGACAGCCATTAAAGGTTGTACTACTTATATTACATATTATGATAGTATGTTGATATGAAACCAGAGTATTTTTTACTTTTACCACTTTAAAAATGATTGCTTAAAATAACAAAGTTATGTTTAAGTCAATCTATAAATATTTTTTATTTAAATCGTCAGGTTACAAGAAATGCAGCGTCAGGCGAGAGCAACTATAGAGCTGATGAGAGAAACGTATTCTAGAATAAAAAGTGACGAAGAAAAGAAGAAAGGATTGGTTATTGTAAGAGCTTTGTATGGAAAACTACCTCAAGGTTAGTGGTTGATTAATTATAGTACTGATAAAAGTAATTATCATTACTTAATTATATAAACGATGTAAATAAGTTTCCGTACAATGTAAATATAGTTTTGAAATTAAAGATGGTATATTTTGAATTTGATTTAAAAATCAAAAAGTAGATATAATCTCTGGTCTTAGAGTGACGCTAGAATTATGTAGAATTATGTTACGGGATTTCCGGGATGTAAAGTAGACTATGTGTTATTCCTGGACGTCAGCTTCCTGTATACAAAATTTTATCAAAATCAGTTTAGCCGTTTGAGCGTGAAGAAGTAACAAACATACACACACACTCACAAACTTTCGCAATTATAATATTAGTAGGATATATCAGTATGTCTTAAAAAGAAATTGAAATATTTGTTTACCAATGTTGTATTTTTAGGGGCGTCAGATCACGATGCGTCGAGTGAGCCGATAGGTGATGGGGTTGAAGTTAGTCACGCTGAGGTCATTGACGTCACTATTCCCATGCAGTGCCTCATCAGAGATAGTCGTCTCGAATTACTAGACGCCAGCAAGGTACAAACATACATCTAATATATAGTTACGAAACTCTCATGAAATTAACCACTAAATCATGGATTTTTAGTACTTTCCGTACATTCACCTAAAGCTTGCATCGTCACACCAATTACAGATCGATTTTATCTTTTTTATTCATAAATCTACTTAAATAATGTCGTGTGCGAAGTTTTATGAATGAAAAACTGAAAACACTGAGTATGCAGTGTGACGGTGCAAACTTGTGTTTCAGGTACTTATAACATGAGAACAATTTACGAAATATCGATACTGAAATAGCATTTACTGTTTATATAACTGGTTTAAGTGTAACGGTATTTGCGAGTAGAATATATAACAATAAATACAGATAGAAATTATACCTGAATTTTAATATATAACATAATAGTTATCAGTTATATAAAGCTTAAAATATATGATACCAAATATAATGTTGTTCAAACTATGTTTTTCAGTCTGAGCTGCCTGGCTTCTACGATCCGTGTGTCGGTGAAGACAAACATCTCACTGTGCTGTATATGTTCCACGGGAACGAGCATCGCGCCACCGTCCCAGACGACCAGCCGCTAGTACTGCCACGCAACAGTAATTTCATTACTAATAAATAACTAGTAAACTAGTCGATTATATTTACACACACACACACACATAAACGCACACTCATATTACATATACATATACACTAACGTCAGCATCTCTGATTTCCAATAACATACTGGGTTGAACTTAACTAATCTTAACTATGTACATCATTACTACAAGTTTTCATTGTTACACTACTAATGGATTGTTTCTAGTATTTCTTTATATGTAACTTCTTGTATGTAGTTTGATCATGCAAACTTATGGGAGGTCTAGTAGGTCTGTGCCTGTTTAGCTAGACATTAAGTATGGAGGTCCTGTCGGTAATAAAACTATTGATGCTACCTGTAAGGATCTGATAAAAAACTTAAAAAACTTGATGTTGATAAATCGCCGGGTCCTGATTATATACCTGCTATATTACTTGTTGATTGTGCCACACCTTTTGCCTCTCCAATCACCATAATTTTCAAGCAATCAATACTAGAAGACCACATCCCAAAAATATGGAAGTCAGCATTTGTAACTCCAGTCTTTAAGAAAGGATCGAGGATGAACATTACAAATCAAAGACCAATATGTTTAATATCTGCAGATGTGTTTATATACTACTAAGTTCTGAGTTAAATTAATTTGACCTTCATTTGTTTCAGACCATCGAATAAAGAACAGATCTTGAAAACTAAAAAGGCGCAAATAATCCGCGCCGCTGTGTAACAAAATCCAGAGAACTTTGAACTCTAATTGCGACCGATTTAAGAGACATTTAGTGCGATACAACCAATTGTGGATCTATACCATACCCTTCAGATAAATAGCAAGTGTCATGACCAGCTCCCATACATAAATTTACGCCAAATTGATGGTAATTATTAACAGAACACCATAATATATCAGACGAGAACAATAAAAGACGCACAAATCTTTCTCATTCACTCATAATTTTTCATACATCATCTATTAGAAATGAATATATCATAATAATAAAACAGTGAGATGATACAACACAAATAGATTTGTACGTCTAGCAAGTGTTGATTCTGTATAGTTACGTAACATTAGAGATGTTTAAATATATATTTTAATAGGTCGATTATAAATGAATATATTTTGTCATAGCGTTAATATTGAATATTTCAATATGCCTCACCTTGCCTTATCGCGAGAACATAAATATATACATAGTATTAAAGTTTTATACAACTATGTATATGAATCAAAATACATTGTTATAAATGACATATTAAATTTTTGAACATTTTAATCTCCTTGTACATTGGCCGTATTTAATAATGATCATATAAAATTGTCATATTTGGACTATTGAATGCTTTCCGCATACATTCATAGTGCGTATGTTGACTATCTAATAATGCAAATAAACGATATTATTAAATAAAGAGCAATAAAAATGCTAGCTTTATTAGTAATATTTACCGTGTCTATGACACAAAGTGTGTATTATAAGAACATTTAATAATATTGTAAAAATTAATATATTGTTCATAATTCTGATTCATCGAATACAACTATTGTTATCGTGTTAATACATGGAAGTAAGTGTTTCTGTGTATGTACTTCAACGCGCGTTCTAAATCATTTTTTTTTTGTTGGCTTTATATAGAAAAACTTACTTCAATGTATTAAACTAAAACTTCGTTAAGCTTTATTGAGTCAGTCATATATTATGCCTTACAGAAATCCCATATATTTTTAGATGTAATTATAAGGATGTATCCTATATGAACACTATAAGGCTATTATAGATTATTATTAAAGTTTATACATTATTAGTACAATATATTCCGTGTGTTTATTTGACATATTTAGTTACTTTTTTTAATAACATAAATATTTTTAAAATTTATAATTGGAATTGAGATATTTCTTCTTGCTCATCACATAGTTAAATACGTATAGTACAATTATATTAAAGTAATTATTTTTTGTTTCATTTATAAATTTACTATATACATATTTTTGTTGCTATTAATTGTTTCGCAATACATCGGCTTGGTTAATGTTCTAGATCGCCTTAGTGTGTATGCGTCTCTAATATGTATGTTTCATTATTAAATAATTAAAAAGAACGATTTTTACTCTAAACAATTTTATAAATCAAATGTTTCTTATATTAATACCAAATAAAAGCTAGAATTTTTTGCGTTATTTACTATATATTTTTAATAGCGCCATCTGTAATATTATTCACATAATGTCATCTATTTGGCTTGTAACAGTATATGCTCGGTTTTGTTCATTTATAATTTATAATAGTTTTCTTTGATCATGATACTGGATTTTGTTATGCGTAGCCGAATCGCCTGTTGAAATGTTATCATACGTGTCTCATGAAGATGAATCAGTTGGAGCGATGGTTTGTTGTGAATGTTGACGACTAAGGCTTCGTTACGAAGACACCTTAAACAATAATTCCGTAGTAATAATAAATAATCAATATTGAACGGGACCATGACTGCATCTCTACACAACTACTGTTACCATCTTCTCAGTATGTCATTTTGCACGTAACTAAGCTCCTGTTGTCGACCGACGTGATCGTAACGTGACACCCATCGACACGGACACGATACGATAACGTCTATTTATTCCTTATATTATTGTGTTGTTATGAAATGTGTAATAATGTAGATGTTCCATTATTGTTAGAATGCCTTTAAATGATATATTTAGACCTAGTTCTTGTTTTTGTGGGCTGAGAACTTGACAACCACTGTAATAAAGAAATGTTGTTACTGTATTGTTTTATTTATTTATCCTGAATTAAAAATATTTAAACTAAACATTTCCATTTGCGTTGTTTTAAATGTAAATAAGAATCTCAAATATATTGATTACAACATTAATTACCATCTTCAGACCTACGTGCCATGTTAATCTTAGATTTATCGTTTTAAGTTTGTTCTTATAATGTATTTTCCAACAGTACCCATAAATATTCAAATAATTTACATAATTATCTTGGCCTTTTATTTTGTACCACGGTTCGTCAGTTACTTCTAGAAAATTTGTGTTCCAATTTCAAAATAATTATGTATACGATCTTCGATCAAATAATTACATTGTTATTTCAAATTGACATATGTATAATATTTTTATATTCAGTTAAACAGGTTAATTAAAAGATATAAAACTGATTTTCTTTTAATTTTTTAATATCTGTTTATCTTATTAAATTTAGTCTGTTACAAAATTATAAGGGTTTGTAAACTTTAACCAAGATAGACTTTATGAGCCATAAATGATTTTTTAAACTGTAATTTTACATATAAAATTAATATACAGTTTAATCAATAATCCACAGAAGGTGGTGTCTTTTTACATTTCATTTTATTATAATAATAATGTGTCTAAAAAATATTTAATAAGTTTCGTTTTTCAAAGTGAAGGACCCATTCGTGCCAAAATGTGCATTCAGCATGCAACATTTTACCATTGTATTTAATTCAAACAGTTTACCAACTTATTAAAATTACATTATATTTATTATTTACTTTATTTTATAAATTATGTGTTAAGTTTTTATTACTTTATTATTTTCGTGTGAGCCATACATTCTTCTTCTTCTACCTGGCAATTTCCCGGCTATAGCCAGGGTCTGCCTTACATGTTGTGAATAGTTTTGGCTAATTGTTTTTACGACCGGCCGCCTGCCTGACATCAACCCTCTTTTGGGAAGTGTGAGCCATACATTAAAAAGAAAAATTTATCGAGTCATATTTTATAGTATTGATTGAGTAAAAGTTTTATTATTAATTTAAATTTAGAAAACATTTGCTCATCTTGTTTTTCAAATCCATCAAGCCTTAATAATTTTGTTTAGTAAAAGTCGATACGTGCTTATTTGTATTTGTGTTCTTAAAGTTGTTTAATAATAATTAGTTTGAAACGAATTTTATTTAACATAGGATAGAAAAAAAATAAAAACAATATTTTATTTACTCCTTCTATTTATCGGTGGCACAAGCTGACAGTTCTGTTTATTCTTCTAGAAACTAGAAACAATTTTCTCTAAAGTATTAGCCAAAGAAGATTCTAAACTATAATTTTATTTATTTTACCTCGGTACAAATTTGATTTAATTAACGATTGCTAAATGCCTACCCACAACTGTATAAAACTTCTCAGCATTCCATGGGTTCACTGTGAGGATGCGGGTCCAGGGAGAGGAGCTTTAGTAGGGCCTGGGACTTGCGACCCAGGTGTAGGTATAAGAGGCCCCTATCTAGAGAACGTTATACGTTCGCTTCAACCGCCCGAGCTTCTCTTTCTAACTAATCAAATTTGAAACGAACCTACTAGAGCTGCCTTCGAAGAATGAATTGATGTTAGTTCTGGACAAACCCAAGTCTATTAGTAGTTTGTAGAGAGATGTAGCTGTCCTCTTGCTTCTACTTCTACCGCGTATAAATTTCCGACGAACCTATTCCTGATGAGTTTGTTAGTGAGTTCGTAATACTTGTTGACCTCGATGGCATGCTCTTTGGGTGGTGTTAGTTTCCTAACGAATCCTATGCTCAATTAACACAACGCGCTTTAAATTATATTCAATCTTAAATCTTCGTATAAATTGTTATATAAATATTAAAATAAAACATTTAAAAAAGTTACTGTAGGTACTTTAATTCATTTTCCATGTGGATTCATGTTTTATACAAATAAGTTATAAGGAATTTCAAATTAACTCATTTATACATTTTAAATAGATAACATTCATTATAACTGAATTTCTCTTTTGAAAAGTCTTCCTTAACCCACACAAAATAGGTCATAAAATTGTTTGCACAAACCACTTATTCAATTTAAAATTGTAAGCCAATTAAAATAACATTAAACAATTAAAGACGAAAAAAATTAATTCTATACAAAACAATTGACTCTTCCTCAAAACTAAATCATTCTTGTTTGAACCATAATATTAACTTATTGATTTTTGATCCGCTTGAAAATTATTCCGCTTGAAAAAGGAATATTTAAAAAAAAGTCGTGTACGTTTTTTGTCCCC